TCCTTGGTAAGATTTAGTCCCAAGTGGTTTTTTGTTGGTTTTTTTTTTTTTTTTTTAATTTTTTTGGTAGCTCTTGTAAGTGGGGGAGCTCAGGTGGTGTAGTGCTCAAGGCATCTGACTGCTAATGAGAAGGCTGGCAGTTCAAACTCACCAGCCACTCCTTGGAAGGAAGGTTGGACAATCTACTTCTGTGGAGATACCGCCTTGGAAACCCAACGAGGGGTCTCTATGAGTGGATTGACTTGATGGCAGTGAGTTTGGCTTGGAGTTTATAGATAGATAGATAGATTTCCTTATTTCTTTTTCAGCAATCTCTTTCCTGGTATGGAGGAATTCAACTGATTTTTGGATGTTGATCATCTATCTTGCCATGATGCTAAATATCTCAATTAGTTCCAGTAGATTTTTATCTGAGTCTTTTGGGTTTTCTAGGTATAGTATCATCAGCACATAGGGTTAGTTTGACTTTTTCCTTACAAATTTGGATGCCTTTTATTTCCCTTTCTTGTTCTAGGCAGTAATCTTTATGGGAGCAGATCACCTGGTCTTCTCTCCTGTAGAACTCCTGTATTGGTGTGAACCACAGACCTTTCACAGACCTTTTGATTAAACAAAAAAAAAAAAAAAAAAAACCACCAAACTCACTGCCATTGAGTCAATTTGACTCCTAGTGACCCCTCCTTGGGTTTCTGAGGCATTATCTGTACGGAAATAGATTGTCCAGTCTTTCCAAGGAGTGGCTGGTGGATTTGAACTGCCAGGCTTCTGGTTAGCAGTCAGATGCCTTAGGGACTACGCCACCAGAGTACTCTTTTCATCATGAACCAAAACCAAACTCACTACTGTCAAGTTGGATCTGACTCATAGTGACACCCCCCCCCTTTGGTTTCTAAGGTAGTATCACTATGGAAGTAGCTTGCCCAGCCTTCCTTCCAAGGAATGGCTGGTGTGTTTGAACCAACAGCCCTCTCGTTAGCAGTCACATGCCTTAGGTACTACGCCCCCAGAACTCCCTTTTTATTATAAGCGGCCACTTACTGTACCTCAAGGGCTTCAAATGGATGGATGGATACATAGATAGATAGGAGAAGGAAATAGATCAAAGTGCTTTCAGTATTCCTGGGTAACTTTCATTTGGTTGTTCTTTGTTTCACTGTTTTTCTAAAACTACGTAGTTCTTATATAATCAGAAAAGGCTTTCAGTCTTTGATTTATTATAAAAAAAAAAAAAAAAGCCTTTGATACAATATTAGTGATTTGGGTGAAAATTTACAGAACAAATTGGTTTTTACATTCAGCAGTTCATGCACATTTTGTTTCATGACATTGATTGCAATCCCCACAATGTAACCAGCACTCTGCCCATTTCTTCCCATTATTCCCCTTTATCCTCTTTCATATACCTCCTTACCTTTTGAGCTTTATTCTTGTGCACATGCTACCCTGTTGATCTCTTAATGTTGATAGTTAAATAAGTACATACTTCCCTGTTGTTACTGATCACCTTATTAATCAAAAAAACCAAACTCACTGCTGTCAAGTCGGGTCCGACTCATGGGTTTCCTAAGTGGTATCACTACAGAAATAGATTGCCCAACCTTCCTTCTGAGGAGTGGCTGGTGGGCTAGAACCTCCAGCCTTCTGATTAGCAGTCAAATGCCTTAGGCACTAGGCCACCAGAGCTCCCGTTCATCCTCATAGGCCTTTGTATTGTTTGGTTGAAAATTAAGCCGTAGGGGTGAATTCAGTTCCAGACTTGAAGCATGACTAAGGCAGTTCTATTTTTTCTTAACCTCCTTGTTTCAGGATATGAAACATATATACTTTAAGTTATGTTATATTAATCTCTGTTGAAATGTAGTTTTCAAGTTCTTTCTTAACAGTTGGTATGTTTTTGAATATTTAATCAAGTGAGGAATATCCTTTATTGTGCCTGTTTTTAATTTATTCAACAGGGTAAAATCCTTTACAAAGTTCGATGGAAAGGATATACATCAGATGATGACACCTGGGAGCCTGAGGTTCATCTTGAAGACTGTAAAGAAGTTCTGCTTGAATTTAGGAAGAAAGTTGCAGATAACAAAGCTAAACCAGTCAAGAAGGATATTCAGGTATCATGTTTTGTCTCTTATTTCTTATGTCAGATGTTTCTGCTAGTTAAAGTTAATAAACCAATTTGTAGATTACATTATAAATTTTGATCATTTCAGATTCACAGGCTAATTATCCAGATCCTTTGTTTTTTTCTTCTATTCCCAATTCAATTCTCAGCAGTTGCACTGATTTTTTTTTTTTTTTAGTAGTTTTCTTGACGATAGAAAAGAGTAAATAGATCAAAGGAACCCAGATAAGTCAGCTTTCTGTCATCAGCTGTTTGGAAAGGTTTGATGGTGGGCTAGACTGCATTAATATTAAACTAATGTGCACATTTGGTTTAAGAGTTTTCCTCTGTGGGTTTTTCCTTTTTTTTTTTAGCCTTGATTCTCTTCTTTCATAATAGTTGGGTTTATGAATTTTTAACTAATTTTCTCATTTAACTTTTCATATAAATTTTATTTGTAGCTTCTTTTTATAAATGGGAGCTCTGGTGACGTACAATAAACCAACTTTTAGTGTTTTTAGTTTGTTTTTTGATTTTTTCATTAGAAATACCTAGTATTGTTTTTAGAATAGTGGAGGAGATCTTAGCTTTTTTTTTTTTTTTTTTTTAATTGTGATTTGGGTGAAAGTTTTACAGAACGAATTGGTTTTCCATTCAACAGTTCATACACATTTTGTTTGTGACACTTGTTGCAATCCCTACAATGTAATAGCACTCTTTCTACTTCCTCCCTGTTTTTATCATTTCTCTTTGTCATTCTTTCCTATCCTTTCCTGCCTTCTGAGCTTTATCCCTGAGCAAATGCTATGCCATTTTGATCTCCTGTGGTTGATTGTTATAAGCAGTGTGTACCTCTGTGGAATTACTGTTCCCCTTGTAGGCCTGTCTGCTCTTTAGCTGAAAGTTGAGCTGTGAGACTTGAAGGGATTAAGGACTATAGCCCCAGGGGTTCTATCAGTTTCTGTCAGATCAGTAAGCATAGTCTTTTTTTTATGACTTTTGACTATTGTTCCACATTTTTCTCCCACTCTATCTAGGACCTCCTATTGTGATCCATTTCATAGTGGTTAGCAGTTGTAGCCTCTAGTTCATTTGGTCTCAGCATCGTGGAGGCTGGGGTTCATGTGATTCATTATTCCTTGGACTAATTGTCTCCTGTGGCTTTGATTTTCTTTACTCTTCTTTGCTCTGGACAGGGAGAGACCACTAGTGCTACCTCAGATGGCTGCTCACAAGCTTTTAAGACCCAGTTGCTACTCACCAATAAAGGATGTAGAGCATTGTCTTTGTGAACCGTGTTATGCCAGTTGACCTTAGTGTCCCCTGATTATGGTCCTGAAAATTCTTGGGTATTAAAGTCTATATTTCAAGGTGTAGTCTTGCTCCCCTCTTGCCTTATAGCTTGAGTTTCAACCACATTTTTGAAAATAACTAGTGATTCTTTTTTTAAATGACCAAAACAGTATTAAAATCTAGTTTTATCTGTTTGTAGTGGTTTTTACTAATAACAGAAGCAGCTCATATTTACTCAGCACTTATATTATTTTGAACCAAATATGAGGTACATACTTTATATAAATTAAGATGAGAAATTGAGGTTTAGGTAAGTTAAGTAACTAGCCCCAGTTCACCTGCTTAGTAATAATAGAGCCAGGCCACCTAATGTGTTAGCTACTGTGTTAGTTTGCCTTTGGTTTATATTATAGCTTGAAATCCATTTGTTGTTGTTGTTATGTGCAGTCGAGTCAACCCGACTCATAGCGACCCCTCCTTGGGTTTCCGAGGCAGTATCACTACGGAAGTAGGATTGCCCAACCTTCCTTCCGAGGAGTGGCTGGTGGGTTTGAACCGCCAGCCGTCTGGTTAGCAGGCAAGTGTCTTAGCCACTATGCTACCAGAGCTCCTGAAATCCATTTAGAAGAGTTAGAAGAGTTAAATTGCCAATTTTTAATTTATGCCATAATGGCAGGGCATTTAATAATGTGGCTCTAAATTACTAAGCAAAATATTCAGTACTTTAAAAATTTTTTAAAGGAAACTAAGCAAAATATTCAGTACTTTAAAAATTTTTGTAAAGGAAACTCCTTACAAAATGAGTTCAGATTAAAGTAGAGACTTCCCCACCCCCAATTCCTTTTGTTAAATATTTGACTTCCCTAGGGTAGATACATATTCCTCCTTCATATTTCTTTCACTAAAAACACTCACATATACATTCAAATTCTTTTACTAAGTGATTGGTTTATATTACTCTCAAAACTTAGATTCTGAAAATGTATTTTTCACTTACTGGCTATAGTAAGAAAATACTTTGATTCTTTAGTTCCTTTTTCATGTTTGTTTTTATTTTAGAATAGGAAAATATATTTTCTCTATGAATTGTTTCAGATTATATAACACAAATCAAATCAATTGAGGAAAGAAGATCAGTATGTAGTCTTGCTTGTTCTGTACATAAATGTGACAAGTTTAAGGACATTATGAGATCCAAGCCTTAAAAAATTTCTGAAGTTGTTGTAGGATTGGTAGCTCTTGTTTAGAAAGTAGGAAACTCAAAAATTATACTTCCTTGGTGGTTTTGGAAATTTTTGAAGTTCACATGTTCTGCATCCCACCATGGATATTGTTCATATCTACTTTTGTTAAGCACCTTCAGCAACACTGACATTTTCTGTCCCCCGTCTGTGTTTATATGGTTTTTTAAATTGATATTCATCATTATCACCAATCCCTGTTTGTTACATTAGAGACATGAATAGTGTTAGATAACTTCAATTGTTATGTTGTTGTTATATGCTGTCGATTTGGACCCAACTCGGAGCAACTCCTCCTTGGGTTTCCAAGGCGGTATCACGGAAGTAGATTGCCCAACCTTCCTTCTGAGGAGTAGCTGGTGGGTTTGAACCGCCAGCCTTCTGGTTAGCAGTCAGGTGCCTTAGGCATTACACTAACTGAGCTCCCTAACTTCAGTTAGGTAAGTAATTATAAGATGATAAGAAAGTGTTGGGAGGGAAAAAATATTTCCACCAGGTTTTATTTGTACTGCTTGTCAAAACCTTTGAAATTGCTGTTAATAAGACTATTTTATTCTTTCTTTTTTAATTTTATAGAGATTATCTTTAAATAATGACATTTTTGAGGCAAATTCTGATAGTGATCAGCAAAGTGAGACAATTTTTTTTTTGTCAAAAAAGACAAAAACATTAAGACATAGAGAGGTGAAAAGCCCAGATAATCTGAAAAAGAAAAAAGCAAAGACTGGGAAACTAAAAGATAAATCCAAATCAGACCTTGAGAGTTCCTCAGAAAGTTTAGTTTTTGATTTAAGGACAAAGAAAAGAATTCTCGAAGCCAAAGAAGAATTAAAGGAATTAAAAAAGCCAAAAAAAGATGACGTAAAAGAAACTAAGGAATTGAAGAAAGTTAAAAAGGGTGAAATAAGAGATTTAAAGACTAAAACAAGAGAAGATTTCAAAGAAAACAGAAAAACGAAAAAAGACAAATGCATTGAATCTCAGTTGGAATCTGAATCAAGTGTACTTAATGATTCCCTTTCTCAAGATGATGACAATGAAGATTTATATTCTGACAGTAAAGAAGAGAAACAAAAGATTAAAAGTATAAAAGATAAATCAGGGCAGGATATAATTGCAGATGTTGTTTATGATAAACAACCAGATGGCAAGGTAAGTGCTGATGAAGATACTGATGTCAGGACAAAGAGGAAAAAGAAGAAACTAAGAAAGACTGAAGAACATAAAGAGAGCAAAAAGCTAGAAAACAATGACCTTTTCTTAGAAAAGAAAAGTACTCATAAAAAGCAAAGAAATCAAGATAAAGGGAAAAGTACCATTGAGTTAGATAAGCCAATACCTGCATCTGCCCAGACACAAAAGACTTCAAAATTAGGTGGGGAAGAGAGAGGCCTTTGGTCTACTGATTCACCTGGAAAGGTAAGCCACTGAGGCAGAGGAGGTGGGGAATAAGTATATTGGAGACTAATGATAGTTAAAAATCTTACAGAATATGGAAATGTTTGGATTAATCCAGTGCTCTTTTGTGTGCTCAAGAAGTTTCACAAGTACATAATGAAGAAGAAGCACTAAAACTGATCTTTTTCTATTATTAGGGAATTAGTTGTTTAGTACTGCGACTAAAAAAGCAAAAAACACGCCATTGAGTTGATTCTGACTCATAGTGACCCCTATTGGGTTTCCAAGGCTGTAAATCTTCATGGAAGTAGATCGCCCCTTCTTCCTTCCATGGAGCAGCTGGTGGGTTTGAACCACTGACCTTCTGATTAGCAGCCAAATGCCCTATCCACTACACCACCAGAGCTCCTTAGTACTGTGACTAGGTATAACAAAAATCCCACTGCTGCCAAGTCCGTTCCAATTCAATAGCGACCCTATAAGACAGAGTATAACTGCCCCATAGAGTTCCAAGGATGTAAATCTTTACAGAAGTAGTCTGCCACAGCTTTCTCTGATGGGACGGCTAATGAGTTTGAACTGCTGCCTTTCCATTAGCAGCTCAGTGCTTAACCACTCTGCCACCTGTCCTCCTGTGACTAGGTATGTTGTTACAAATTCTGAAAATTATCCAGCCTTTGTACTACCTAATTTATCTCTTAGTCTTTTACTTCTTTTCTTTTAAACTAAAGACAACTAAAAAATTGAGGGCTAATTTGTGAGCCTAGTCAGGATTTTTTCTTTCCTCCTTTTTGTCTTTTAAAGGTACTAATATGGTATTTGGCTTTGTGCAGTAAGGCTTTGGTGTTTTACTATCTTTTCACATCCTACTTGGTCTTTTTCCCCAGTTGTCTTAAGAATGTACCTGCTTCTACTTAAATACTACACAAAGTGCATAGGTACATAGGAAGTCTATTAATTCTTACAAAAATATTTTTAATAAGGAGTTTGTCCCGTTATTATTACTAAGGAGGCCTGGTGGCACAGTGATTAAGCACTTGGCTGCTAACTGAAAAGTTGGCAGTGTGAACCCGCCAGCTGCTCTGTGGGTGAAAGATGTAGCCGTGTGCTTCTGTAAAGATTTATAGCCTTAGAAATCTATGGGCCAGTTCTGCTCTGTCCTGTAGGGTCAGTGTGAGTTGGAATCCACTTGATGACCGTGGATTTGGTTTTGGTTGTCCTGTTATTATAAAAATTGTTTTCACTTTTTCAAAATGCAAATATTTTCCAAATTATGAAAGTATTCATATATGCAATATTGTTTATCAAGAGCTATAAAATGGATCATTTTTTTTTTCCCATCCATTATTTCTAGTCTTGGGAATTTGTCTTAGAGAAATCATGTAAAAGAGAAAAAAGCTTTATCATAATACTTATGGCAATATTATTTTCGGTAGTGAGAACTGAGAAGAATCTGCGAATCATGGAGATAATGGTTAATAAATTCTTTGTGTATCATCTTGGGCACTGTTAATAGCCATTACAATTTTAATTATAAAATCAATATAGCAAAAATTGGAAAGTTTATAAAATGTTAAGATAGAGAAAAATACTACACATAATTATGAATATAGCTATATAAAAATACCTATTCAAAGTAAATGAAAAATAATTTTTAAAAAATTATCTGCAAAATAAGGATTGGGAAGGGGCTTGAGGAAATAAAAATAGCATGTATTATAAATGTAGGAGTACATCTAAATATTTTGAATTTTCTTTTTTGGTGGTTTCAATAGTGAATTCTTAAAAGAGAGTGGGAAAACTGGTGTTCAGTTTTGAAAGTGACATTTTGCAGATTACATATTTGAAGGGTAATCTTGATCGAGGAAGCAGTTAATGTGAAAATATATTTAACAATTAGTGATCATGCACATAAAGGCAACTATTTACCTGATGAACCTTTATTTTGCAGTTTGAAATATGCATTGTCAGTTCTCTAGCAGTTCTTGTTTTGCATCTTACTTATATATTTTTAGGAGAAAGAAACCAAAAAGAGTGACCCCAAAGAAAAATACCAGAAAAGGCATGATTCTGACAAAGATGAGAAGGGCAGAAAAGAGCCAAAGGGAATAAAGAGTGAGTGTAAATGCTGATATTGTACTATTAATCTCATCTTCTTTTATATAAAGAGTTTAATTTACTGTGAAGACAGAGTCTCTTTTTTAACCTGTAGTGTTACTGAGCTTGACATTTTCAGTCATGAGAAATTTAGAGCCTTAGAGTAAGTTGTGCTAAACTAATTAATCCATTACCGTGGAGTCAGTCAAACCTGTTATGGGTTGCTTCTGACACATGGTGACCCCATGTGTTACAGAGTAGAACTGTGCACCATAGAGAGCACAGTAAGCTTTATGGAAACAGATCTCCAGACCTTTCTAATGTGATGCCACTGGGTAGGTACATACCTTCATTGTTTATTATAACAATTTATGTTAAGTATCTGTAATTAATTTCTTCCTTCTTTTCACATTATTTTTCCTTGCATTGAATATGATTATGCAGTAGGTTAGAATTACAGAGAGAGAAAAGTAAAAGATAAACTTTTGTTTAATGTATTTGTTGCACGTAACTGTGTCATTTGTATAAATACAATATTGAATAAGCATTTTTGATCACTTCAAGAGAAGCCGTAATTGGGACTATAACACATGTCAATACTAGAACTACTACTCTATTGAAAAATCAACTTTACATTGTTTAAAGGAGCCTCACCTAATAAATATTTTAGTTTGTGGACCACATGTTCTTGTGGAAGCAGTGATTCCAAGAGATGTTTTCCCCCTGGTTTTCTCATAAAAGCTATTACTGAAAAAAAGTATGTAACTGAACTAATATTAAAAGGAGATTTTGGATCTAAGCCTAAGGTGGGACTGAACGGTAATAAGTAGTATCAGGGAGAGGGTTCTGGTAATTGAAAGTAGAAAGGAACAATTGTTTTTTTTTATTAGGATTTGGGTGAAGATTTACAGAGTAAATTCACTTTTCATACAGCAGTTCACATATACTTTGTCTCATGTCATTGACCA